ATGTTTTTACATATTAACACTGATGGAAGAACTACTATCTCTACCCTGAGTGCAATACCAGCGGGAGAACTTCCCCCTCCTACCTAGAGAGTGTTGTCGATAAGCCGGATCTCTGCCGTAGGGTGCCCGGCTCTGAAGCGATACCTGTCTCTTACTCTTCTCTTTTATTCTATTCAAATGACTGATGATTATGTTTGACTGAGTTCTTCATCCAGTCGTATGGTATAATTGTACTGTAATTGCTCCTCAACGAACCTCAATCTGCCTCAGCCTGATGTAACCAGATTTCTACCTCACAGCACTAGTTGACTCGGACTCAAGGCGGCGTCATGTGCCAGCGCTCAAAATGTTGCTCAAAAACGAACACCTAGCGATTAAGCACTCGATATAGTGTGAAACAGCATACTGAGCTCCCGACTATCATCTGTCTCCCAGATTATTTTCCGCATATAGCAATTGTAAAATCACGCTTAGCCAATCATGTCCGATGCCGAACATATAGTTGAATACATAATCATAACGGTGCTCGACTCACCCATGTTAAAAGTTACTCTAGTTATCCAATAGTATATATCCATTATACTCATAGATTAAACTGATGGTTTTACATACATATAAAGTCATGGTTATAACCATGTCTGTAGTCATCCAGTTCTGTATACTGAACTGCATAACGCTATTCAGTTCAGAACAGAAAAAGTACTCTTTTTATTATTAACACCCTAGGGTATCAAGGANTCCTTGATGAAAATGTTTCGAAACCTCTTACAAGATAACATGATTTTAGTGAGAGAAGCCTTCCCAAATCAGAAAAATAATTAATGTACATGAGCATTTTACCTACAGACAAAATTTTGAACGCATGCGTTCAAAATAGAAACTTCGTATTCTCACCTTATTCACATCGAAAAGCCTATCTTGGTTGTTCATTCTCTACAAAATAGCTTATCTTTATCCACTCGTCATCTACGAACGACCATTTGTAAATCTTTATTGACATTCCATCACAAAGAGAACGTATTTTTCGTCTTGCTATAGAAACACTAATTTACCTTATCAACCAGTTTTTATCTCTTTATATACTGTATAACATGTAAAATGTCTATCATTTTCCCGCCATGAACATTATTTTTTTCGCATATCTACACATGACTCAATACACGGAAATGTATACCACGTTTTTGTCCAATGACCTCCAAGTCAAACACTCGTTGCGCTACAGCGACCAATGATCCGTTCAAACAACGGTATCTTGCAATCGGCCCCTTTGTAAACAAACGAATTTTATAACAACCACACCATCCTCTGATCATTCATCCTTCTTTATTTGAACAACTTATCACTGCAACTTTACCCACTTGATCGTGCGCAATCTGCACGCTTCTCGATGTTAACCGAGAAATATACTATTATTATTATTATTATTATTTATATTAGCTATCGACCAAGTGATAGCTCTCGGAATTCAGTGAGGTTCTCTCCTGTTGTTTTACTCTTACTTAAGCTACCTCCGCCTCCACGTTCCAACGAATCTATTTCAACGTTAAGAAGCTAACTCAGAATCTGTATTTTCATCTTCATGTCAATTAGGGTTTAGGAATCCCGTTCGAGCATTTCCGCTAAAATGGTGTCGGTGTTACTTAGACTAAAATGTCCTTTGTAAAACTTTGCACTTCTCCCTGACTGACGTCCTTTTGAACACCGGATCCTCTCGTGTTTAGTCCTTTGCCCACTGACTGTTCTCAAGCCTCTGTCAGGAAATTCAGGATACGAAAGCCGGATTTATGAAATTTTTCTTGATGAATGCAGCACAAGAGTGGTCTCATCAACCATAAAACCTTGTGATATTCTACACTCTTCATTGTTGAGGGAGCGCTAGCGCTGAAAGTTTAAACAGGTACCCTCCGAAACGCCACGCTGAAGCATTTGTCGTCGTCCATTTGAAGGTTCGTGTCCATAGACCAGTGTCTGACCGCATTTATTGTTGATTAAACTGAGAAATTGTAACTGGAACGGCGGTTGCAAAGCTGAGTTAGAAGTGAATGGCGTTCCTCTTATATGCTCTTTGGGGAGCGATAAACAGCGCCCAGAAGAACGTGACAGAGCGTTCCCGTGTAGGCTTCTCTGTCTGAATGGGAAGCGCTGCCGCAACTCCGGGCCCATATCACCCCTCAGGATCTTCCTCAAATAGATGAGATCTCCCGGGAGGCACCGATACGCAACTGGGAACAGACCAGTAGCCTGCCGACGACCTTCATAGCTGGTCCCGCGTATTCCAGCAACGAGTCTAGTAGCAGCACGTTTTACACACTTCAAATTAGCTAGTGCATGGGTATGTCGACGCACCATCGTGCTAAAATCTCGGTCTGACGTGGGAAGCGTACAGTAGCCTGAAAGCGTAGCATTTTGTCGAAGGTCTTGTTGAAGTCCACGAAGATGATGCCCGTTTCGTGTCCTTTGGTATTGTCCTCGGTCCAGCACTCACGGGCCATGAGCAGGTTTGAGATACATGGGCGACCCGGCTGGAAACCGTAATGTTGGTGGCACAGGTGACCGTGACTCACCAAATGCTGCCGAAACCGTGCAGCCATTTGTCGTTCCATTACTTTACCCACAACACTAGTAAGGCTGACTGGTTGGTAGTTTCCCGAGTTACTCTTGTCTCCACCTTTGGGTATTGTTTCAATGACAGCATCCTTCCACTGTCGCAGTGAACGTCTTTGTGTGAATGATACATAATAATAATAATAGTGTATATTTCACGAAGCCCGTGAACCATACACAAGGCATGATCATATGAACAGGTTGAACACGCTTCACAATGGCACTGCAATTACATATGACACCTCCCTCAGGATAAGTGAATGTACACCATCAGGTTCAGATGACTGGTGAACCATTAGCCGACGCAGCACGAGGGCCACTTCTTCGATGGAAAATGAAGTCCAATTCAGGGCAGTGTTTTTGCCCAGTGGATGTGGCAATATACTAGAGTTTGGGGTTTACACTGAGGCGTAATGCGATGTCAACACGTCCGCTTTGTCCTCATAATTTTGGCTAGTGTCCCGTTTTTGGCGAGAGTCGGGAGGCCCGGTATAACTCCAATTCTTCACCTGAGGTAGGCACACCACCGCTTTGACGTTGTATAGAATTCGCTCCGAGGCTTTCCCCGTTTGTGGATCTCTTGCATTTTTTAGTGTAGTACAGTAATCGCGAGTAGCTCGATGTTTCTCATATCCTGCGCCTTTTGCACGGTACCCAGACCAGGCTTTATTTCGCTACCGGAGGCACTTCCGCAGTTCACGAGCAAACCACGGTTTGCCCATGGTGTGTTCGGTAGCAGTAGGATGGACAGAATTCCTGCACAAGGTAATGGATTCCGAGACGGACCAACTCCCAGGATTCATCTACATTCTCAGGGTTATGGGAGACCCAGTTAATGAGTACTGCAGCTTGATGCATTTTCGGAATGGATGACCGCCACACATTCCGTCCGTTCTGTGGTCTGTCCGCTTGAGGTAAGCCATACCTCCAGTGTATACGCAGAACGGAGTGATCACTGGATGCAATTGGTCGAACAAGGTTAATTCTGGTCGCGTCTGATTGCCTCGGCGAAGGCACCAAGTCAAGGATGGAATTTTGGCCCCCAACTACCCGGGTGGGTACATGGATATGCTGAAGAAGCGAGAGATCCCGGACAGCAAAAGCAGCTATCTGTAAAACAAACCCGCGTGCTGACAGCAGATGTCAGTTGCCCAGGACAAGACAGTTCCCATTGCAGGCGAACCTCTGCGTGCTGGCCAATAGCCCTAGGACGTACACAACCGGTGTTTGGTGGATCACTCCTACTCTGGTGTATCCTCCGGCACAGGGTTGGATTCTGCACCACAGGGCTTCTCCAAATCTTTCCAGATCGGTGAAGTTCATCAGCACTCAAACAGAGAGACCCAGGCAAACAAAATCTCCACCACTGTAACGTGATAATGATTGATCTGTTCGGAACACTGTGTAATCGTCGAGTGATAGTTCAGAATCCGGGACGTCCGGTGTCAGCCAGGTCTCAGTGATCGTAAAAAAGGTCAGGTTTGTTTGATGCAATCCAGTCCTCTAACTCATTTCTATTTCCAATTATCCCACAGATATTGGTCAAGGGTAGCATAGCGTGGTTACCTCGCCATTCTCACCTAAACCCGATCTCCTCGTCTATGATTAAACGGTCTCTTGTGTCCTCCTCCGGTCAGGGGGAGCCAGCGCAGCTGAGGGCGCTTCCGATGCACCCGAAAATCCCGTATGCATAGATCGCTTTCCCATTTAGCACGGCGCTCCCTGACTTCCTCCAATTCAGTTTTTACCTTACTGCGCTGGTCGGAATCGAGATCCCTGGAGAGCCTTACCGGAGTTCCCTTCCGCTTGTAGGTCCGCAGGAGAATCGCTTTCGCCTAGCCTTCTGCCCGAAACACTACTTTTATCGGCCGCGGAGAGTTATCCTAGCTAGGCTTTCCACGCCGGAATGCCGCTTTCACTCTGTGTCTGTCTCGCCACCTTCAAACTCATTCACCATATGCGACCGTAGCAGCTCCAGGTCGTGTTCCAATCTAGCCTGGGCGGTGGTGGTCTCAGATTGAGATTGAGGTCTTGAGATTGACTGCAATGACGCACTGCTATCGCGAAGGGACTTTTCTCTGCTGCACAGGTTCTTGCGAGATGCAAGGGCACTTCTCTGTTGTCGATGACAGGTTGCACGCATCTTGCCTGGATGTCGTGGACCTGAATCTGGTCGTGGTTGTGGTGCAGCAGATGACAGCGCTACCCTTTTCTCCGGCTGCTTCTGTCGCAGTGCGGTTACAGGAGCTGCTTCCGTAAATGGAGTGACCGAGACACCCTTATATGAAGGGGCCACTGTCCCCACTGTAGGTGGTAATATAAAGGGAAATATCGCGTTTATTCTGCCCGATTGGACGGTGAAAACTGGACCATATCAGACTTTTATCGAACATCATTTGTACTCTACAATTTGAATGTATGTTCACACTTTTATTTCAATACCAACGCCGTGTGACGTTTGTTTTATACAACCGAAAACTGTTGTATCCTTTTGCGAGAGAACTTTCACTTGTCGCTTTCGATCCGTTTTGCCCCTCATCGCGTTCGTTGGTTCTCGTGCCTCCGTGCTTTAAAAAAAACCCTCGTTAACCGGTACAGGTACGTTCTCTGTGCCATGGTACCTCAATAAACGTCTAAAACAACGACAGTTCTTCTGGTTCCACCATCGGTAACTTGGTTGATTTGCAACCCCCGGGTCCCGTTCTGAAGTGCGTCACGGCCGGTCGTAGTCGACGTTCCTTCACGCGGACCACACTTGTAAGATAGTCGTACCTTGTGATGATGTTCACCTGAGCAAGACAGTTCCACACTGTTGTGCACTGGCTGAACTCGACCACCATACCAGTGATCGTTTTCTTGGTTTTAAGATACGAACCCCTAATGGGGTTCAGGATCTCTAAGGATGTAAAGATGTCTGGGATTGTCTTGAACCAGTGATCTGACGGGTCCCTGTTCCAGATTTTCATGCGATTGCCGCATGTCTCGGAGTCAGATGGCTTATTGGCTGTATCTAATGCCTTCACTCCACAAACTCAGCATCACATTGGTCAGTTTTTGTTTGGAAACTTACGATTGCCTCGCTCTGAGATGAGATAATCCTGTTTTGTGTCACAGAAGTGGTAATTACAGTGTTATCGAAGTGCATTGGTAGGGTATTGTCTTTCACTGATGAACCGGGAACTGAAACGGAATTGTTATTTGATGGTTGCATTCAACAAGTACTTTATAGAGTAGCGATAGTGCAGGAAAAGTAGGGAAACAGCAATAAATGAGAATACAGTAGAGTACGATACAGCATTAAAAAACTGGCCGTTGGTACACTAGTGACGGTGACTAAAAAGTAATATCATAGGTGTTAGTAAAATGGATTGATAGCAGATAGAGGGGTGGATAATTCCGGAATAAACCAATTTAAGACGCAAAAATATATTCTAAGAGAGAGCAGTCAGGAATTTCGGCCTGGCGTCAAATCACCGTATAAACGGTTCTAAATTCTGTTTGGGGAGCAAAATGCCAATACAGTGGGTTGACCCAAACTTACTCATCAATTGGAAGTCTACAAGAGAAAATTTTGTCAGAATACGTTTGCTGTTAACCACTTACATCATTGTACGGCTTACGTTTTCAAACATGTGAACATGTGAAGAACAGTGCTGCACAGAAGTTCGAACATGGAACGTTTTCAAACATTTTGCAGAGTGCTGATGGTGTACTCATTCAAACAAAAACTACCTCCATGTACTATCCAATAAAGCGTTTACCGAGTCTGAACCATGAAATTTGATCCCTTATCAAAGTTACTCCTGATAATGTGTTAATGCCTATCATCGGAGAATGCTTGACAGAAGCATTAATTAGTTGTTTTACTGCGCCACTTATAATTTGCGGGCTTTCGCAGCATGGGTAGGTTCTGCGAGTGCCTTCTGTGACATCTAGTTCTTTATTTGTATTGCAAATATTTTGGTTCACAGTAGCCTCTGTCGTTCTATTATTTAGTTAGCTAATGTAGTTGCTGCATGGATTTCGTTTAAAATGGCTGCATATCAGTATCGGACGGGTGGTTTGCATACCGGTACTTATTTCTGGACTGCGCATTCCGAGGTGAACGCAATACCAATCTGAGCTGCTGGGATTCCTTGAACATCGGAATTTCCACCTGAATCCAGCAATCAGGCATTACATAGCGATTCGGAGATCTCAACTGCACTAGTGCCCACACTAGCTGAAGGTTGAGGATTTGGACTGTTCGCACAGACGAATCTATTCGAGTGTTTGTGATGTATTAGTTTTTAGGCGTGGTCATTCAGTAGCGTGTGTACGCGGCCAACCGAAGGCAGGTAGATTCAGTATTTTGAGGTAACTCTTGTGTGCATTTACGAGTTTCAATGAAATACTTCCACTTTTTCCCTATGTAGGTATTGCACGAGATCGTATCCATAAAAGGTCAAAGAGTGGAGCGCGGCGGGAGCGCAACCGGAAGAAGAGGAAGTTTGAAATGGGCCGTCCTGCTGCCATGACAAAGCTGGGACCGAAACGAGTTCACACGGTTCGGGTTCGGGGTGGAAATTTCAAACTGCGTGCAATGCGGCTTGATCAAGGCAACTTTAGTTGGCCTTCTCAAGCCGTTTCGAGAAAAACTAGGATAATTGACGTGGTTTACAATGCGTCCAACAACGAATTGGTTCGAACGAAGACATTGGTGAAGAACGCAATTGTACAGATTGACAGCGCCCCATTCAGACAGTGGTTCGAGGCTCATTATCTGAAGGAGTTGGGTCGTCGAAAGGCACCTACAGGGAAAGCTGCTCAAGCAGCCGCCGCCGAAAATGCCGAGGAGGATGTTCTGTTGAAGCAACGGAGCAAGTCCGCTATGAAAAAGTATGAGGCCCGGCAAGCTTTGCCTCAGGCAAATGTTGAGGATGCTTTAAAAGAGCAATTTGTCTCAGGCAGAGTATTGGGTAAGTCTCAAATCTTGGTGTACCCTTATATTTCAGCCTGCATTTCCTCCCGACCTGGACAAGTTGGTCGTGCAGACGGCTACATTCTGGAGGGCAAAGAACTGGAGTTCTACTCTAAGAAACTGAAGGCAAAGAAAGCCAAATAAATCACAACAAATAAACCGTGGTACTTGAAACTGATCTTTTCAATTTCTGCAGATGGTGCGATGTCTAGTGGTTCTGAAGAGTCCGTGATTTGTCCCATCTACAGAGGATGATCAATACTGAAAGCATTTCACAACGGCAGCTAATGGTGAAAGGGGTACATAGGAGTCTATGTTCGTTTCAATTTCGTGTGATTAGGAGATTGATGCCAAGCAATGTGACCTGGGGAATGTATGTGGCAGTTACTTCCGTGAGCACCTGGATACTTGATATGCATGTTTGTCTACTCCAGGTAGTTGCACAAGGCAATTGTGTTAACAGTCCACTCCGATGTGAATGTGCTTTTTAGTTTAGTCTACTTCGATTGTGCAGGTTAATTGCCAGTTTTTTTACTTCATCCTGTATCACCCTTACCTGATCTACGCCTCATCCGTATCATGCGTTCAAAAAAATACGCAGTGGTGCGCAAACGAGGCAAAACTTTTGTTGGTATATTCTCTTTCGCTCTCACGAGCGCGAGGTTGCAAGGCCAACGTACAGTTAATGTCTTTGCGCTAGTAAGAACCAAACCGTCAGACCGAAAGGAAAAGTTAGGGTCGGGTCTTTTATTTGGAGTCCCGAATTGTCAAACATGGACGAAGGTGCCCCTGTTCCTTTTTTGTATGTATGTCCTGCGTGTTGTTCTTTGCGTGTAAATGTGCTACTTTTGCCAGAAAACATTCCCAACCCCAAAAGAGGGTACATATCCTAATGGTTCTCCCGACATTGTCTGAGTATCCGGTTATTTTGTCTCCTTGCCCCTCCATTTTCGTGCGCGACCTTGTGTTGCAACGAAAAAGGGAGGTAAATTTACTGTTGGTATATTCTCTTTCGCTCCACGGGGCGTGAGGTTGCAAGGCCAACTCACAGTAGTCTCTGCTGTAAATTTTCGTACACTTCTGCACAACAATCATTGTGTTGTGAATGTTCTTATCTAGTTATGTTGCAGGTCAATCGTCTTTAACTACCAGAAGGACGTGCCACCATCAGAGCGTGGGCGAAGTTCAGTGAAAGTATGTGGTTTGATGATCTGAAAGGTTCAATAGTTGTGATGGGCGCTAATGATTGAGCGATGATTAGAGGAGAGAGAATTACTACCGAGCGAGATACGCTCAAGTCATGTATGTAATTCCATCTGTTCATAAATAAAGAACTAAAATGTTGGTAAACGAGGTTATTCAGGTATACTTTACTGCACAGCCCTTTGAATGGGATAAGCCTGCTCCAGACGTGATCATGAACGTGAAGTTACTCGGGAGTTTGGTACAGGAGACGTCCCCGGCGCGAACGTAATCCGCGCTGAGTGAAAGTCCAGTGAATTACTGAGTATTCCTCAGTCTACCTCGAAGGTCGTGATACTAGATAGTCGTTCTCAGATGCAATCGCTCTGCATGGCCCCCGATAGCAATATCATGTTTTACGGATGCCTGCCCATTGGTACTTCTCTCTTCGAACATGCAGCGCAAGGATGGAAAAAGTTCCGCGCTGGTTAGACCATGACAGCGTATGGGTACGAAGAAGCTGGCTTCAGCTTTGCCTTCAGGTTGTGCAGCCCGCCTGCTAGACTGGGCCCCCATTGATGATTGTCGTTAATTGGAGACACTGAGGTATGTGGCAGGATTAAGATCAGTGAC